AAAAGAGGCGCACAAGGAAAAAGACGAGGGGAACGAGGAGGGAGGAAAGGAAGGAAGAGGGGGAAGCCCAAAGAGACAAGGACCACGGCAGAGCGGAGCAGAGAAGCCAGGCGACACCAAAACGGAGACCCAGAGAGGGCCACGCAACGGAAAACCAGAGGAAGAGCAGAGGAAGGGGGGGGGGAGCGCAGGGACAGGGAGAGGAAAGCCAGCAACGGCGAGCGGAGCCGGCGGACAGGGGCAGAAGAGAAGAGAAGAGCGCGGACAAAAGAGACAAGAGGGCAAAAAGGAGAGCGGCGCGGGCCAACGGACAGAGGCGCAGGACCAGCGAGAAAAGGAGGAAGAGAGGAAGACGGGAAGAGGGGGAAACGAACAAGAGAGCAGAAAAGGCGAAAGCAGCAAAGAGCGAAGAGAGCAAGGAAGCGGGAAAGAGCAGAGAGCAAAAAGCGCAGGGGGACAGAGCAGACCAAAAAGCGGCAAGGGAGAAGGGAGAAAAGAAAAAACGCAGAGAGCGGCAAAGAGAAAGAGGCGGAGAGGGCAAACAGAGCAAAGCAGAGCAAAAGAGCAAGGGCGGGACGGGAGAGAGGCAAAGAGAGAAAACACGCAGAGCGAGCAAGAGAAAGCAGGCCAGAGGGGGAGCGGCAGCAAAGAGACCGGCGCAGCAGGGAAGAGCAGCGACAGAGGCGCAGAAGGGGGAAGCAAGACAACACGGGGGGGAGCAAAACAAGAGAAGGGAGGAAAGGAGCACGGAGCGGGGAAAGCCGGGAGGGGCACACGGAGCGGGGAGAGCCGAAGCAGCAGGGGCGGAGGCACGGGGCGGGAGGAGGGCGGGCGGGGGGAGCAAAGCACGAGAGCACGCGGAGACGGGGCGACCGGAGGGGGAAGACGGGGGGAAAGGAACGCGGAGGGGGGAAAGCCGGGGAGAGGGCGGGCGACGGGAAACCCGAAGCAGCAGGGGGGGCACGGGCGGGAGGAGGGCGGGCGGGGGGAGCAAAGCACGAGAGCACGGAAAGGCAGGGGAGCGGGGAACCAAGAGGGGGGAGAGAGAGGGAAGGGCGCGGGGAGAGAAGAGCAAGGGGAGGAGGAGGAGGACACCACCGCGCGAACCACGAGAAGGGGGGGGCGGGACGGCGGGCGGGACGGACGGCGCGGGACAGAGGGCGCGACACGAGAGAGACGGCGCACAAGCGCACACACACGGGAGGGGGAGGGAGGGCCGCGGGGCACCAGACGCGAACAAGCGAGGAAGAGGGGGGGGGAGCGCGGGCGGAGCAAGGGGGGGCGGGGCGAAAAAGGGGGAAAGGCGAGGCACCCCCCCCCCCGCGAGACGGGCACCGGACCGCGGGGGGACCAACAAGGGGGAGCAGAGCCGGGAGCCGAGGGGAGGCAGGGGAGACCAACCGGGGGGAGGAAAACACGGGCCGAACGGGGGGAAGGGGGGGACGGCGAGGCGGAGCCAGGCGACAAAGGGGGAAGGGGAGGAAGCGGGCAGAGCGCGCGGGAGGAGGAGGAAGAAAGAGGGAGCGCAAAAGCGAGGAGGCGCACGGGAGAAAGGGAGGAGGGGAAAGGGCGGAGGCAGGGACACGGAGCGGCGGGACACGAGGAAAGGGGGAAGGGAGGGCCACGGGCCCGAGAGAAAGAGGAAAAGCAAGACGGCGGGGGGAGAGCCCCGGAGGCGCCACAGGACGGACAAAAGCCGAAACCGGAAGGGACAGCGGAGGAGAGAACGCGGAAGAAGCGGGACAAGAGGGCCAAGGAGAGGCGAGGCAAAGCCGGGGAGGAGACAAGAGGGCCGAAGAGCCGAAAGGGGGGACGGCAAAGAAAGAGGGGAAACGCGCAGCAAGAGGGGCGAAGGAGAGGAACAAGAAAAAGACAAGAAGCGCACAAGCGCCAGGAAGAAGGGGGAAGAGGGCAAAAGGCGCGCAAAGGAAAGGGGGCAGACAGGGAAGCGCGAAGGAGCAAAGGGCGGGAGAGAGGAGGGAGCGGGGCAAAAAGAGGAGCCAAAAAGAAAGGAAGCGCAAAAGCCGACGAGGCGGACCAGCGGCAGGGGAGAGGAAGGGGACGGCGAGGCGCGAGCACCGAGAGCGAAGAAGGGGGCAACAGACAAAGGAGGGAGGGAGCGAAAAGCAGAGGAGGGCGAAAGGAAGGCCAAAGAGGAGGAGGGCAGGAAGCGCGAAAGGCGGCGCGAAGGGCCGAACAACCGGCAACCGCCAGGGCAGGAGAAAAGAAGGGGGAGGGGAGGACGGACGAACAGGGGCGCGGGGGGGGAAAAAGGAGAAGGGGAGGCGAAAAGGAGACAACAAAAAGGCGGCGCGGGGAAAAGGCAGCGCGCGCAGAACACAAGAAGAAAAAGGCGAAGAAAAGAAGGAGGGGGCGACAAGGGCCGCAAACCCGGACAGGGGAAAAGAAAGGGGCCAGAGCCGAGCGGGAGCAAGGAGCAAGGCAAAAAGGGGGAAGCGACGCCGAACAAAGCCGAAAGCAAAAGGGGCAAGCGCGACAAAAGAAAAGCGCGCGGGGCAACGAACCAAACGAAAAGGAGGAGGCGGAGGAGGCAGCAGCAAGCGAGGAAAGGCAGGGCGGAGGAGGAGACGGGCGAAGAGGCAAGGCAAGGGAGGGGAGGACAAGGGAGGGGGGGGAGGGCGCGGGAAGCAGAGGAAGAAGAGGGAACAGCGAAGGCGGGCAAGGCGGGGAAGGCGGCGGGGCGCGGGAAGCGAGGGGACAAGCGAAGGCGAGAAGGGCAAGAGAGGAGGCGCACGCAGCCGCAACGCAAGGAGCGCAAGAAGAGGCGAAGGCGGGAAAAAGAAGAAAGGAAGAAAAAAGGGCAAGAGGCGGGACGGGAAGGGAGGAAAGGGAAGAAGGAAAAGAGGCAGCGGCAAGAAGAGAGGGGAGAGAACAGAAGCGGGCAACGAGGGCGACGGGCACGAAGGCGGCGAAAAGGAGAGAGAAAAGGGGGAGCAGGCAAAAGCCAGCAGGAGAGAGAACCGGAAGGGGGAGGACGCCACAGGGGCGCAAACCCCGCAAAAGCGGACGAAGGCGACGACGACGGGAAAGAAGAAAGGGCAAGGGGGAAAAGGGGGAAAAGGCAGAAGAGCACGAGGAGACAAGGACGGGGCGAGCAAACAAAAAGCAAAGGGGAAGGGGGAAAGGCCGAAACAAGGGGAGACGACGGCAAAGCAACAAAAAGGCGGCAAGCAAAGAGAGGCCAAAGAGGCAAGGGCAAAAAGAGGGCAGAGAAAAGAGGGAAGCGGGGCGAGAAAGAAAGGGGGAGAGGGAGCCCACGCAAAAAGGGGGGGGAAGAGAGGGAAGGCGGGGGAGAGACCAAAGCAACCAGCGCGGCCCGGGCCAAAAGAGAAAAAGGGGGGCAAAACCCGGCGCCAAAAAGGGGGGCGAAAGGGAGGGAGGAGGAGCGGGGCGCAAAGGGGGACAAAGCGCCGCAGCGGAAGGCAAGAAGAGCAAGGGGGGGGGGGACCAAAAAGCACGAACAGGAAAGGACCCAAGCAAGGAGGGGGACCGAAAGGGAAGGAAGCGGGGGGCAGGAGGGGGGGACAGCGAGAGGGGGCGCACGCCACAGGACGAGAAAGAAAGCAGAGCGAGGGAAGGGCAAAGAAAGCGAGGGACCAAAAGGGAGAGGCGGAGGAAAGCAAAAGGAGGGAAGGACAAAAGGAGGGGCACGAGCAAGAAAAAGGGGGAAGAGGGAAGAGGGGCGGGGGGAAGGGGAAAGGAAGGGGGAGCACGAGGCAAGGGGGGAGAAAGGCGAGCGGGGAGAAGGGGCGAAAGAGAAGGGCCGAAGAAAAAGGAGCGCACAAAGGAGGGGGCGCGCGGGAAAAGGCGAAAGAACAGGGAGGGGGGGGAGGGGAGCACAAGCAAAGAGGCAGGGGCGGAAGGGCCAGAAAGGCGAAGGAAGCGAAGGGGAAGGGCACAGAAAGCGCAACCACGGAAACGGCAAGACGAGCAAGCAGCGGGCAAAGAAGAAGCGAGGAGAAGGCGGGCCAGAGAGGAGCGGCAAGAAGGACCAAGGGGGGGAGGCAGGCCAACGCGGAAAGCAAAGCAAAGCAGGCAAAGCAAAGACACACGAGGCAACGGCAAGACCGCGAAGCGGACGACAGAGGGACGGAGGGGGACGGGGGAGCCAAGAAGGGGAAGGGGGAAGAAAGAGACGCGCGGGGGGGGAGGAGGGGCAGGGACACGGGGACCGGGGGGCGCAAGAAGAAAAAGGAAGGGGAGCAAGGGCGACCGAAGCGGGGGAAGCAACGACAAAAGGAGAAAGAAGGGCAAAGAGCAAAAAGACGAACGGAGCGCGGAACCGAGGGCGGGAAGGGAGGGAGACAAGCGGGGGCAAGGCACAGGGAAGGGCGCAGCAAGGAGCGGCCGCAAGAACACCGCAACAAAACGGGGGGCCGAAAGAAGAAACCGGACGCGCAAAGAAGCCGCACGAGGGAGGAGGAGGGCGGCCGGCGCCCGAAACGAGAGGGGGCGGAAGCGAGCAACACGGCGGGGGACACGCAAAAGCGAAGCAGGAGCCAGAAGCAGGACAAGAAGACGCCAGGAGCGAGAGAAAGGGAGAAAACCAAAGAGGGGGAGGGCAGAGGGGGGAGGCAAAGGGGGGAGGCAGAGGAAGGAGAAAGGGCAGCGAAAAGCGGGGAGGAGCGGGCAGAGGAAGGAAGGGGCGAGGAGAGGCAGCGACCAGCAAGGGGCAGAGGGGGAAGAAAAGAGCAAGGGGGGGGGAAGAAGCCAGACACGGGGGAGGGGAGGAAAAAGCACAGAGCAAAAAGGAGGCGCGGGGCGAAGAAGGCACAAAAGGGGAACAAGGGGCAGAGGGAGGGGGGAGACGAAGGAGACGGGGGAAGAGGAGGGGGGAAGGGAGGAGGGGGGAAAGGAAGGCGCGAGAAAAGCCCAGCCCGCAGCCAGAAGAAGGGGAAAGGCGGGGAAGAAGAAGGGGGGAGGGGAGGCCGCACGGGGAAGGGAGAGGCAGGAGGGGGGGGGGGGCCAAGGAGGAGCAAGGGACGGGGGAAGGGGGGGGGCAAGGCAAAAGGAAGGAAAGGAGGAAAGGCGAACCAACACGGCCAGGACACAACAAAGGGAGCCACCCAGGACCAGGCACCCAGGGAACCAGAGGGAAGAGGGCGCAAAAAGCACCCGCCAGAAGGAAGGAGGGGGAAGAGGCAGGAAGGCGGGAAAACAAGAGCAGCGACCAGGGAAGCAGGGGGCACGGGGAGCGAGCGCAGAGGGAACCAAAAGAAGGGACGAAGCGCGCAAGGAGCCGGAGGGGAGAAAGGCGAGGCAAGAGGAGCGCGAGCAAGGCAAAAAGAAAGGGGGGGGAACGGGGGCCAAGACCGGCGAACCACAAGGGGGGAGGAACCAAAGGGGGCGGCCGGAACAAAGCAAACGAAGAAGGCGGGAGGGGGAGGAAGAAAGCAAGGCGCGGGGGCAAAAGGAGACGCGCAAGAAGAAGGAAGAGAGGGGGAGGAAACGGGGGCACCGGGGCCCGACGGGAAGCAAGCAGAAGGGGCCGAGCCGACGCCGCACACAAAGAGGGCACCGGGGAGCAAAGGGACGGGAAAAGCGCAGGCGGGAAGGGGCGACGCGAAGAAGAAGGGGAGGGCGAACAACCCCCCAGGGGGGAGGGAAAAGGCGAAGGGGAGAAAGGCGACAAACGGAAAAAGGCAGGGGAGGGGGGGAAACAAGCACCGAGAGCGGGGGGAGGAGACGGGGGCAAGGGGCGGAGAAGCGGGGAGGCACCAAAGGCCGGGGGACAAAACGCGAGGGAGAAGGCAAGAGGGGGAGCAGAGGGAGGAGGGCAAAGAGAGGGGGAGGAGAGGAGGGGGGGAAGCACGAACAAGGCGGGGGGGAGAAAGGGCGAAGCGGAGGCAGAAGAAAGGCGAAAGGAGCAGGAGGGGGAAGGGAAGGACGGCGGGGGCGGACAAGGCAAACAACGGAAAGAAGGAGGAGGCAGCAAGCAAGCAAAGGACACCCGCGACGGGAGAAAGAAGGGGGGCCGGGAGGGAAAAGCAGCGAGCAAAAGGCCAAGGAGCACAGCAAGAAGGCGAGACAAAGAGGAAGAGGGAAAGGAGGGCGAGCAAACAAAGAGAGAGGAAGGAGGGGGGCGCGGCGAGAGCGGACGGCAAGCAGGCCGGACAGCGGAGGGGGGGAGGGGGGGCAAGAGGCCAAGCAAAGCCAAAGAAAGCCACCGCACCGCAACAAAGAAGAGCAGACGAGAGCGGAAAGGCACAAGCAAGGGGGAGGGGGGAGCCAAAAGGGACAGAGGGGACGCGAACGGGGGGGCAGAGGCGGAGGGGGCAGGGGGCAAAAGAGACAGAAAAAGCACGGCCGGACAGGCCAGGCGGGGGGGGAAGGCGGGGGCGGGGGGCAGCAAAAGCAAAAGGCCAGCGCAACGAGGACCGCCGAGGCCGAAGAGAGGGCGGCAGGAAGGGGGGGGCGCAAAGGGGGGAGGAAGCAACAAGGGAAGGAGGACGGAGGGAAGGGGGAGGACGGAGGAGGAGGGGGAGAAGACGAGGGCAAGCGCGAGCACGCACAAGCCGGGGCGGCACGCAAGAACCAAACAGAGCGACAGGCGACAGCACGGAGAAGGGAGCACGGGGAAAAGAAAAAGCGAAAGAGCGAAGAGAGCCCGACGGAAAAC